CATTGTGCTTTATAAACAATCAAATACTGTGGAATTGATGCCTCTTCTCTATACACAACTATTTCATCATAATTTAAATTTCCAGTTTGACTAGGCTCTCCTAATATACTATCATATCCGGGCGGTGGACTTGTAAGTGTCATATTATCTACAGTAAGTGGATGTCCTTTTCCTACTACAACTTTATTTAATAACATTACTTTATAACTTACGCCGTAAAAATCTTTTAATGAACCGTCATTATAATCATCAGATTTTGATGATGTACCAGAGAAATAAATTCCTCTACCAAATCTCGAAAATATTGTGCCTGTACCTACAAACCTAAGTTTATATCCTTCCCTTATAATACAACAGACCGAACATGACTTGTCATTGCATACCTGCCCATCATTTTTAAGGCCAATAAGACATGACCTAAAAATTGTGATTTATTCAATAACAAGTATAAATAAATAAATCAATATATATATATATGCATATGTATACATTTAAATAGATCAAAGACTTACATTTTTGTTCCATGAAATCTTCTTTGTTCATTTCCTGCACTCATTAACCGTTTTGCATCACCTTTTGGAAAAGGCTTACCGGCCAATTGTTGATTCTTTTCAACTTCTTCTCGGTAAAGTCTATATCTGGAAGTTAAAGCTTCTGTGCAATATATTTTCCATACTTTACTAATTTCAGGAACAGATTTATGTGGATGTTTCCAAGCATCTTTAAATTGTTTTGCAATGTCTTTATATTTTTGACTATTTGCCGGAAGTTTAAGCATACAAGGTGCTAAAAATAAATAAACAATCACATGTGGATCGTTAAATAATTATTTAAATTCAGATTAATCAGGTAACAATCAATAATTATATATATACCGTTACTATAAACAAATCTCTCGCATTGACTACTACAAAAATCTTGTCCTGATATTGCACGATCTCTATTACAATATAAACAAAGTTGATTACTTCTTTCAATAACTAAATGCCGCCAATCAGGTGTTCTATCTCGACAAAATTTCGAGCACCAAAGAGAACGAGGATAAACACGTTTAGCCTTGAAAATAAGATAAAAATATTAATATAATAGTTAAACATATATTATAAATCATAACCCATCTAATAAAACTATCTAATCTGCCCTAACCAAAACCAAGACACCCTAACTAAATGTAAGAATCAAATTCATTAATATTATATCTAAAAGTACCTTGCAAGTCAAACATAATGGTAGATTTCTACATTTAAGCACACCACAAAATTCGGAACTTTTTACTCGGGGAAATTCTTTACACTGGATACATGGAGGATTGGATAGGCCGACTGCTAATGCCTCTCGGCGACATTCATCACTGCAGAAATCGCTGGCATAACCATCGGGATCACAGTCTACTAATCTCTGTTTACAATTTTCACAGTAAACATTACCTTTATTTTGGTTAGGAATATGCTCCTCGACTAATTTTGGTTGTTCTTCAACATATTCTTTAAAATTATAATCATCCATTACAACTGATGATGGGTGTGATGGATATTGAACTTCGTTATAAATTTGTTCCATTGGTGGGTATTGTTCTTGAGGGGTGTAGTCTACTGGTGAGCCCATGAGTATCGGGGCTGGTTGAGTCGGATACACCGTTACGGGAATAGGTGGGGCATAGGGTGAAGTAAAATTAGGAGGCTGATATTGTGGAATTTGTGGAATTACGAACGCTTGTCCTGGAGGATGTATTGGTGCTTGAGGTTGTATATATGGTGGTTGTTGTATATTTCTTTTTCTCTGAAAAACATAATTTAATATATCAATAAAGTTGATCAATGACGTTATAATAAAGGTTATATGCGTATATTATTTACCGAACTCC